CGGTCGCAGCTGCCGGCCCCACAGCCCACCGCAGGCGACCTGCCCTGCCCCCATTTAGCTATCAAAGCAACGATCGGTAATTTTAAATCTGAGCTCTTAAATAGAAGTTATTTCAGTCAGTCAGCGCCAGGAACGTCTCAGCCTTATTGTTCCTCTGCCCAGGGCTTTGTGCCACGCACCTGCAAGCTGCTAATAAAGTACTTAAAGACCAGGGGAGTGAAATAGGGTGTCGCGGATAACAACAGGGGTTTCCCTTGTGAAACAACACAAAAACTATTTTTTTTGATTTTTTTTTTTTTGCTTTAATTACCTGGAAAGGTGCTGTTCATCCACAAGCCCCACTTTGATGCCGCTTCCTGCTGCTGTCTGCCCGTAAAAAGCCACGTTTGGGACACCTCTGCCATCCCATAGACTTGGTGCGTGCACGCAGTGCATTTTGTTAAGGGGTCACCACTGGTAGTGCTGCTGCAGCTCCGGCTGTAAATGGCTTATTCTGCCCCAGAAACCATCAGCCCGGCACTGCCTGCAGTCCACAGCTCCTGCAGCGCCCACCGCCTCTAGGGCAGGCCAGAAAACGAGGTTCGTTTCGCAGAACACGTAAGCTTTTGCAAAGGACTTTCTTCCAAACCGAAGCAAAACTGAGAATGGGGTACTTTTTTCTTTCAACTTGGAGCCTCTCCTGCTCCGCCTGCCTTATCAGCAGACTGCACACAACCCGCGTGTCTTACCGCGTCTTAAACCAGCTCTTTGTGTGAAAACGAGGCCGGAGGAGCTTGGCCGGTGCCGCGGTGGAGCCGTGCCGGTGACAGCCGGGCAGCGAGACGCCAGCCCTGACCTCAGCGCGTGACGCTGCGTGACAGGCATGCGGACAAACCAGGCGGTTACGCCACAGACGCGTCACCCCAAGCGTACGTTCGGGTCGACAAAGCCCTGTGATTAACCTGAGCCTTAATACCCACGCATACTCGGGTAGTGTGCCGTTAATAAAACACAGGATCCAACGCCCAGTGCTACGAGAACGGAGACATTTTGTATTCTAACATGTATTTTTACAAAATACGTACGTTCCTAAAATCTAAGCCTCTTCTGCTTTGGATGTGGACGTCCCTTGACTAGACGGACACTTGATTTGATTTCTAACCGATCCCCTGACACTGGTCTGACTCAAGTTCTAGCTCTCTCTGATCAAACGAGGTATTTAAAACATATAGGGAGCACAGGGCGTGCTGCATCGTTACAGACAATGCAGTATTAAAACAGTAAGAATGATACTGATATACGAATCTGCTGATATTGGAAATAAAATACAGGGCAGTAAATTCATCACTAGTTTAAAATTAATAACTTCAGAAAATGATTAATCATTAGAGGACCATGTGATTGATAATACAGAACTGAGAAGAATGAACACGTCACAGCTGAAATCGTAACGTTTTTACAGAGGAGCTGAGAATGTAACAGGTACAAAACATGCTCCAGAGTTAGATATTACCTGGGGCACCTTACTAGAAGGAAGAAGTTGCTTGTTGCTTCCCAAACTGTGTCTTGCTGAGCCTTGGTAAATGGTTCATGGCTGGCCTGCAAAACTGTATTGCCTTTCTAGTGTTACTGTCCACAGTCACTCACAGGCGACTTTGAGGTTGGCAGGAGCACATGGTCCAGAAGTTTTGAAGTAACAGAAATAGCTGTCAGTTTTAACAGTACTCGAATAAAGGTTGCTTTCTCTCTTCCCCAATGAACAATTTTTCCATCAGGTTTAGGCATTACAAAATTTTAAACTCAGTATTATATTTACCACCCTTATAATTAGCCATAATAAAAAAAAAAAACTAGTGCTCATCCACTACTTCAAACCCATTTCTCTCTCCAACCAGTATAAAAAGCACCAGAGTTGTGGAAACATATAGTGATATAGTGTGAAAATGTAAATACATATCTTAATTGGTTTTATTAATTTTAATTTAAAACATTAACATAGAATTAATTTCCCCTTATTAACAACAATGGCAAATGATGAGGAAGGACCCAGGCATGCTATCAAATACTTCCTGCAGTGTAAGATGTTCAAAACACCATGTACCAAGATTCATTTTTATATAAAGTTAAGTGTGCATATGAGATGAAAGACGTATCATCTTTTCCAATACTGTTTGGTTAACTTATTTTTATGGGGAACTCTTTCTACAATAAAATTAGGGATGTCCTCCAGGCTTTTCAAAATGTTTAAAGATGATAAAAATATCTCCTACTTTGGTTCATGTTATAATGCCGAAGTAAAACAATAAGCCAAGAAAGTAGCACAGTTTTTTTTTCTTTTTTAATTATTGTTCTTGAAAAACTAGAAACTGATTGTTTAACATTGCAACTTTTTAGCTGACTGACTTCACCTGCTATTGATAACAGTATACACAGAAATCATCCAGTATGCTTTGTGGGTTAATTAAGTTACAGATACAGTACATTATGCTATGAAAAAATGCATTTTCTTGTAGTAAAAGAACAAACATATTAGACTATTTTAAAACTATAATGCAAATAATTTTTAAAGATGTAGTGTAAATACAGTCACCACCAACTTTCTAACAGGAATGTTTTCACATGTATCTTGAAACGTCATGAGATGAAAAAGTATCAGTGATGATGAAATGTCAATTATTAACAACAGAATATTGGCCTGCTGTTAATGCATATACACAGCATCTATCCGAAGCCCACGGATGTCAAGGATGAGATTTTAATGATTGATGGCTCTGTGCTTGACCCACATATAAGGGAAAGCCCATATGCAAATATTCAGGTTAAGGGAAAAACATTACAAGCTACAATCATATTTATTTTTTAAAAAAGTGTATCAAATATAATCATATATATTGTTCATTCATGCCTATTTGGACAGCCTTTTCAAAATATCAAACAGCACTGCTGCCATCCATTCAAAACAATGGAAAAGCTTTGCAACTTTCCTTATTGTATGCATCTTTTCAGTGTTATATGCTTTAAAGCACACAAAACAAAAATTTTACCAGAATTTAGTGCCAACAACATGATACTTAAAGTAGCATTTCAAGATAGGAAAAAAATTAGATATCTAATACATATATGTAATCTATCTGTAATCAAAAATGATCTCTAAAACACAATATTAGGTAAAAGAGGGAAAAAAAATTTCCATTAGGAAATCCTAAATCCATATTGCTTTGTACACATGGAGTTTCACATAGCAAAAGGTAAAGTTTCATCAAAGCTTGTATGCTTTAAAGACATTTTCAAGGGTTTCCTCCTTTCTTGCACCGTAGCATTCAAATATTATACTACTTTCTTTCAAACCCTTTTATAAGTTTCCTCTCCTGAATTTACACAGTGGCTGCGCTGGGAGGAAATCTAAGTGCAGTAAGGACTATTTGCTTTCCTTGACACCAAAAAATAGTGTGGACACCAAAAGATAGTGGTGGTTTATTGAATGAATGATAGCTAATTTTACATTTGAACACTTAAAAAAAAGTCTTCATTTCAGTTTTTCTTCTCCTTT